TAACGTGTATATGTAGCGGCAGTGATTGTTAAAGAAATTGCTTTGTTTTGTGTTAGATTTTATAATTTATGAGAAAACAAAAACAAAAATTGTAAAACGCATACAAATACAGAATGACTGACAAAACACAGAATTATAACATTGCATATAATAAATACAATAAAACTATAATTGAAAAACAAGTATTCTTATTGTTTGTCGGATAAGTAAGATCTGCATTTCAAATCAATAGAAATTGTAGATTCAGACGCTGACGAGGTTTTTTTATAATTTAAATTTAGCGCTAATTACTCGATAGCAAATCGACTACTCTGCCGTTTTCTTCACTGGGTCATTCGATAGGTTCCGTGAAATCGATATTTTCTGACCCTGTCTCACGCTACTTCCACACGGCATCCCTGTTGAGTTGAATTCGCAAAGGTGGCAACCTCGCACGGCGACTGAATAAAATAAAATTGGAATTTTAAATTATAAGTTTAAGCACAAACAATGGCTGCCACCCCAAGCGCTTCCGGCAAGTCCGAGATGATTGACCTGACCAAGTTGAGTCCGGAACAGCTGATGCAGATCAAGCAGGAGTTCGAGCAGGTGCGTTTCGCATGTGGGTGTGCGATGAGTCAAGAGGGAAACGGGACGGGGTTTCTGGAGGAGGGGCGCCCAATTGGCACATGCTTCTAAAAACTGCCCATTTTTCTGATCCTTAGGAGATGACCAACGTGCAGGACTCGCTGTCGACGCTCCACGGCTGCAAAGCCAAGTACGCCGGCTCCAAGGAGGCGCTGGAAACCTTCCAACCGACCTGGGAGAACCGTCAGATCCTGGTGCCCCTGACCAGCAGTATGTATGTGCCAGGACGGGTCAAGGATCTCAACAACTTTGTCATAGACATCGGCACCGGCTACTACATTGAAAAGGTGATTTAGTTTTCCATCCCGATCTAGAACATCTACTGATTGCCATATGTTTTTCAAACAGGATCTGGAAGGCGCCAAAGACTACTTCAAGCGACGCGTGGAGTACGTGCAGGAGCAGATCGAGAAAATCGAGAAGATCCACCTGCAGAAGACGCGTTTCTTAAACTCTGTGATTGGTGTGCTGGAGATGAAGCAGGCAGCTGCAGCGAAAATGCTGCAGTCGCAGCAGCAGTCGCCGGCGGTTCCCCAAAGCTCCTAGACGACAGAGATACGGAAACCATTAAATTATTAAACTTATAAACGAGATGTGCGCATTTAATTAACGTAGTTTATTAAATTGTTCAGCTATTTTTTGGCTTCTGCCAAAGCCTTGGTGAGAACCTTGACCTTCTGCTCGTACGCGGACTTAAGGTCCTGTAAGGAAAGATAATAGTGTATCAAGTTAAGAACTCATTGGACTAGAATATTAACGCACTTTGAAGATCTGTGACTGGGTGTCGTACTCCGAACGCAGCTTGTCATACACTCCTTTGGAGATGGCTAGTTTCTTCTCCGTGAGCACACACTTGTCTTGCTCCGCCTTGATCCATTGCTGGCTTTTCTCCAGACGAGCCTGCGTGTGATCGCATTCGGCGGTCTTAAGCTGCAACATGTCCTTGGTCACCTGCAGCACATCCTTAATCGTATCCACTTGTGTCTTGAGCACTGATATCTGCTGCTCCTGTTGTTTGTTCACCTTGGTCTTCTCGAACAGCAGGGTTTTGGCCTTTAGGAGTAACTCCTCCTGCTCTTGCCGGGATTTGGGAGCATCTGTGCCGCCCAGCATGACGGATTGTTTGAGCGACTGCTCCAACTGGACCACTCGCCGCTTTAACCGCTCATTTTCCGCCTTGGCTTCCTGCAATCAGGGTCGGTAAGTGGGTGCAACCCATGGAAACGGGTAACTAACCTCAAAGTCTTTGCGGAGTGCTCCGATCCGCCTGCGAGACTCCTCTAGTAGTGCCTGTTTTTCGCTTTCCAACGTGAAAACCATGTCGAGCAGTTCGTTTTGCGGCTGCTCCGGCAGACGCACTTCCTCCTGGCCATTGGCTGTGATATTGTTGTTTAGGTCACCGCCAACAGCTTCATCCTCGTTATGATCGGCCATTTTATGAAGAATACTTTTTAAATTATAAAAATTTTGTTGAGCAATGTGCGTTTTCCGTGCCTTTTCGGCTGTGTTTTCTTTTTGTATTAATAGACCAAATAGATGCATGCGCTATTTATAGGATATCCCACTCTCCGGCTCGCTCTTTACCTGCTCTTGGCCAGATCGCTCTCCCGAAATAACAAACTGTTTCCCTCCAATTTAGTTTACGCCTCAGCATATTCTGAAGTTCAGTTTATTATACATTGAAGCATGGATGAGAAAGGATTGCGGATGTGCGGTGTTAATACAGATCGCGAAGGGCAACACAATTAAATTGTTGTTACAATCAATGGGGCGACAATTGAAAGTGAGTGATTTGATTAAAATTAAATGCCTAAACAAGATAGAAGAAATGTGCTTTGCTCGCGGAGGAGAGTGTCTAACCATCCAACTCGCCGGCAGCGCATGCATCAGCGTAACTCTTGCCGCTCTTGTCCTCCGGATTCAGCTTGATCATATCGTCAATACGCAAAATGGTAATTGCGGCTTCCGTGGCGAACTTCAGAGACTTGATCTTGGACATGGCGGGCTCCAGAACACCAGCCTTCTTGTTATCCCTAACCACACCCTCGATCAGATCCAGACCGGTCCACTTAAGATCCGATCGCTCGGGCTTCGTCTGGCTGGAGTTGTGGTAGGAGCGGAGTTTGGCCACCAGATCAGTGGCATCCTTGGCCGCGTTCACGGACAGGGTCTTGGGAATGACCAGCAGCGACTTTGCAAACTCGGCAATGGCTAGCTGTTCGCGGGAAGCCAGCGAGGTGGCAAAGTTTTCTAGATAGATCGATAAGGCGGCCTCCACACAGCCGCCGCCGGCAACGACCTTCTTGCTCTCCAGCACACGCTTCACCACGCACAGAGCGTCGTGGACGGAGCGCTCCATCTCATCACAGTAGAAGTCATTGGGACCACGCAGGATAATGGATGCGGCAGCACTAAAATAGAAAATTAATACAATAAACGAAACCATGGTATGGCATGCCATCATCAGCACTTACCGCGCCTTAGTGCCCTTGATGAGGATAAGCTCATCGTCGCAGATGCGCTCTTGGGCCACCTCTGCGGCCTCTCCCACCATTGAGGCATCGAAGCTCTCCTCGCCGTCCATGTTGGTCAGCGAGGTAAGGAAGGCAGCGCCGGTAGCCTTGGCAATGATCTTCAGATCGCTCTTCTTCACACGACGCACCGCCATGGCGCCAGCCTCAACGAAGTACTTCATGCACAGATCATCAACGCCGCCGCTAACCAGGACGACATTGACACCGGTTCCGAGGATCATGTTGATGCGCTCCTTGGTAATGTCCAGCTCACGGGCACGAATAGCCTCAAGCTTGTCGGGATCGTTGATCAAGACCTGGACGCCCATCTTCATCTTGGTCTTCTGAAGCGAAAAGTCTAGGCAGGCAATCTTGGCGTTCACAATCTTCTTAGGCATCTGCTGGGAGGCAATGGTGCAGTTCAGGGCGTAGCCGGGAATCAGCACCGATTCCCTGGCAGACTTGCCATGGGCCTTCAGAACATTGATGGCTTTGATCGAGTAGGCTGCCTGCCCACGGGGATCTGTGATCTTGACCGACTGGGCGGCGTCCACAACCATGGCGGAGAAGAACTCTGCGTCAGCACCAATGATCTTGGAGCTCATCGAGGTCTTGGCAATGTTAATCAGGGAATCGCGACCCAGTTCATCCACGGGAGCGGTTAGATGCTCCGAGATGTATTTGCAGGCCTCCTTGCAGGCAATGCGGTAGCCGGAGATGATGGAGGTGGGATGGATCTTCTGCTTGACCAGCTCGTCGGCGTTCTTCAGCAGCTCAGCGGCCAGGATAACCACCGAGGTGGTGCCATCGCCGACCTCCTCGTCCTGCAGCTGAGCCAGCTCAACCAGGACCCTTCAAATTTAAAATGAATACTTGTTTGAAAGGTTACCCTCGACAACAAACTCACTTGGCAGCCGGATGCTCCACCTCCAGCAGTCGCAGAATGGTGGCTCCATCGTTGGTCACCGTAACATCGCCGATGTCGTCCACCAGCATCTTGTCCAGACCCACGGGTCCCAAGGAGCTCTTCACGATGTTCGATATGGACAGAGCGGCCATAACTGAAATCATATAAAAGTCGAGTTGTAGTCATAACCTCACTTCGCAGGGCTTGTCCACAAGATCTTGTAACTCCTTGCGTTCAATGGGTTTTTTTGGTAACCCAATTAGGGCAGGATCGCCCTCCCCCGGTTTTCTTCCGGAACATTCTCTACGGTGAGCGTGACCCACGATGAGTAAGAAACGTGCTCCGCCGGCAGACGCACCGCAGATGTTGACAAAACCCGGGATTCTCACCGTTCTGTGTGCGCACCGATGCGCCGGATTGGCGGGTGCCAGCAATGGACAAAGGAGAGGCCAGGGTCGACATTTTCCTAAGTTTTTCGGCGACTTTTAATAAAAAACTGATAAATCAAATCACTGAAAAACCGCACGTTAAACCGCCTGACTCACTTTAAGAATTGGAGATGCACACACAACCGATGTTCATTCGATACTATCGAGTGCAAACTTTTTTCTTAAAGAGCGGCGAATGAATAACATTTATAAGTTTATGCTATTCGTTAGATTAGCGCAGTATTAAAATCATATAATATTTATATTGGCTTATTTATTAATAGGAACATTTTGCCTCACAATCAAAGCCGCCTTCAAAATATCGATTGCCATCGATAACCATCGCGTTGTTCGATTTTTTAAGGAGCCCTGGCTGAAAATCGTGGTAACGCTTTTTTAAATATATTATTACAAATTGTTGATATACAAAAATTAACATTTCATTAAAGTAAAAGATTTAAGTAGAGGTCGGAAGTCTTAGTAGGCCTTGACTTTGATTTCGTATTACTTGTCCTGTGCGCTGTAAACTTATTTCAGTTTACTCCTAGAAATCACCGATATAAAGTCACAAACTTTTCGCTTGATATTTTTACAACGAATTTTCATAGTAAATTTCAAATAAGATTATACTACTTTCTTATACACTACGATAACCATGTCATTCTGTGGAGCGCGTCCCAAAAAGCCCATGACTGCCTTCATGTTGTGGTTTAATTCAGCCGGGCGCGAACACATCAAATCGGAGCATCCCGAGTTCAAGATCCAGGAAGTGGCTGTGAAGGGTGGTGAGTTGTGGCGCACCATGGACGATGAGGACAAGTCCGTGTGGCAGGAATCAGCCAACAAGGCAATGGCGGAGTACAAGGAGAAGATGGAGCAGTGGAATGCCCTCGTGGAGCACCAGAAGAAGGTCTGCCTTTCGCAGACGTATCCCGGTGTCTATGAAGCTCCGTTGTCCTCTCGATTCTCAAATACCTACGAAAGGCCCACCCTTTTTGTGTACGACTGCAAGGATGACTCGATGGCTCCGATCTGCAGGACGTGTTTTTCAAAGGCCCGATGCTTTCACTAATCGTTTTTCCTGAGGTTGATACTACGTATGCTAAATTATTGTTTTAGTCACATGCACTCGCAAATCTAAATTGATTGTTTTTTAAGTTGCGGAGCGTAGTTATTTTTTAACATGTTGGTATTATAACAAAAGAAAATATTTATTTTCGTATTTTCAATTTTTGTGTAGTGCCTTTTTGAATTGCTGGCTCACAACAAGTGTGCAAAGAAATCTTGTGTTTAGACTTTGGCTTTCCCTTTTCCGGCCCACTTCCATCTCCATTCCCCCCCTGCAATTTAAGCCAAAAGCCAATTGGTTTTTTGTTCTCCTTGCCGGCACATCGTGCCAGGTTTTTGTTCTGGCTGGTTTTTCTGCTCCATGCAATTAAAGCTGCCTGCTCCTGCTCCATTTTTTCAATCCTACACACTGGCTTCTGCTTTTGGCCATGTGAAACCAAGACAAATTGTCTTCGTGCAGGGAGCACTAACAATTGCGCTTGTGAAAGTAGTAATTGTTTTTAAAATTTTATGGGCATAAATAATGCCTTTACTAATAAATATCAAGTGACTGTTGATTTTCATTTATATTAATTATCTAATCAGCATATTTTATAAAGAGATAGAGAAGTTATTTTCAAGATATCACTTATTAATTGAGGTTTTGTACCCTACTCTTTTGCTAGACTGTGGTGTGATGGTTTCGGCAATAGGCAAGCCTACATATGAACATATGTAGGTACGTACCTGCAGCTGATAATTGCAGTGGAAAAAGCAGCAATGGAAACTGCCTCCTGCAATAAAAGTCACAATGGCGACAGCTCACGACACATTGCTCTTGCCCCGCCCATTCCCGACTTTCACCTTTCTCCCCAATGTGTGTGTGTGAGTGAGTATTTGTGTGTGTGATTGACGGCCGGCGGGCTTTCTCATGTGTGTCGTGGCTGTAGTTATTGTTGAATTCAATTTTCCGTAAATGTATTGTTGGCCTGACTCTGCGCTTGGGACTTGTGGTCGCTTCTGTTGCCTTTGGTTACAGCTCATTAGCAGCAGCACAAATACACACAGACACACACACTTAAGCAAGCATGCCCACCAGCAAACCCACAGATAACGCCTTCGGTTTACTTAAATTCAACGAGGTCGCTGGCGCCACGATCGCATAAAAATAGCTTACAGTGAACTATGCATATTTTTCTGTATGAGGATCTGCCGATGAGGATTTTATGTCTACTTAAACTAAATAACAAAGCCTAATAATATGTTCATAACACCACATAATCGACCACATAATAATATCAATTGAAAAACAAAAACCAATAAATTTCTACCAATAAATACTACGTTTATTACGTTCAATACGTACAGTAACATTTGTCCAACTGTTCCATATATCAAGGCTTAACCGTAGAAGCAACAGCCATAAAGTCCGGCCGAGTGCAAACAATTCCGATTGATTTATTGTGGCAATGGTTAATACGATTAAGCGATTGGGTCGCAATGCGCGAGAAACAAAGGAGAAGTGTTGGCTGGCCCTTGCAATGGGTCCCACCTGTACCCGGGCGTGTATTTGTGAGTGAGCGAGTGTGTGTGTAAGGCGGGTGCACATGTGTGCGAGAGCTGGAGCTCAGCGGCTTTAATTGCCAGTCGGTTGGGCTCAGTTTGTCTCGCCGCACGTTGCTGTGGATGGGAATGTGGACATGAAAGTGGATGTGGTTGGGATTTATGCTTGTTCTACATGCATGTTGTACAAACAATTTAGCCGTAACTGCGACACATACACTGGCAAACACAGCCTGCCTCAACACTCACACAGGCACACGTACGATGGGAACTCAGTATGCGTGCTGGACGACCTCCATTTAACACCAAACGTGTCATTTGTGGCCATTTGCTGGTTGCCGATGGTACCAACACACACACAGATGGGTGGATAAATGTGCTTTGCTGCTTTACGAGGCTCTGGCTGCGTTTTGTGGTCTATTAAGTGGCTCGCACTAAACCAAAAAATGTGCCATCATCTTTACGCGACTTGTGCAACACGGCGTATGAGCGTTATGCCTCAAGTGAGCAACAAGCGGCGGCGAATATCCGTCCGTAAAGCTTAAGTTCTCATCCGATGGCCACTAAAATGCCTGAGTGCGTGGCGTAGCTTGAAAGGGGGAAGTGCATAAACTAAAGTTCATTAAGAGTAAAATCTGAGTACCAACATCACAAATATTTCAACTCAAAGCTGTCATATACTTCACTCTAAAGGCGCAGTGAAGCAAAGGATTTTTTATCTTTGGTGGCAAAACTACTTACAACGAATGATGGCTTATCATTATCCACAATTTTAGGACTCTAATTAACCCACCGCTGCAACGACATCCCTACTATACCATTGAGCGAAGGAGTATAATAAAAGCTGAGAAGGATTAGGAAGCTTTGCAGGAAGGGATGATTAGGAACCGCACCTAATAAAGGGACAAGGTACTTGGTAAAACGTACTTTCAGATTAAAGTGAAATTTTTGACCGAATTGCTAATGCAAGGTCTTAAGTTATATTCTTACATCAATGTAATAGGTCACATTCCCAAAGGTACCAACTGCCGAACTAGGTACACTCACCTATACCTGACTCATCTCTAACCCGAAAGAAGATGTTTACGACCCAGCCCAGTGCATGCAACCTGGGAAGAGGCGGAGAGTCCGGCGGAGAAAGCTGAGATGTCGACGGCTTCGCCCACGCCTCAGATAAAAGCGTCCAAGAAAACTTTCGCCCGCCGCCGGAGAGGAAACGAAGCAACAGTAGACCAGTAAGCCAAGGCAACAGACACAGTGCGCCACATGTATGGATTGCATGGAGCTGTCTATCTGCGCTTAAGCCCGCTCCAGGTTATGTGTGTGTATTAAAAGGACATAAAAAGCTGGCCGGGAATGTCAATGCCTGGTTGCCTGGTGGCCTGGTGGCCTGGCACGGCTTATGGCTGCGTAGAAAAAGTGAGCAGCTCACCGCCGCGCTGAGCGATGCACAGATATAAAAGTAAACAAATTAATAAAAGGCAAATAATGAAACAAGACGGAAACACGAGTCATAAATTAAATACCAACAGCGAAAATTACCTATCCAAAAGGCGACTCGAAAACTCGAGACGAACGCGAAATTGTCCTCTTTGCGTTGTGGCTGTCAATTTTTCGTAGCATACACACAGGCGCGCGCCATCAGCCAAAAAGTTTGGTAAAAGAAAGAAGCCTGGCCAGTAGAAGCAGCAGCAGGAGCAACTGGGTGCCAGCACGAATAATCTACTAGCGATTTATTTAGACGGAGACGGAGTCGGCTTCGCTGCCCCAGCTGCTATTTTGGTTACTTCTTTTATACACAAATACCCACGGAATTGGGGCATGTTGGGTTCTGGGAAAAAGAGATATTCACTGGCTTCTTCTCAGAAGTGATGTATTTGAAATAGGATCCTAATTGCTTGGAATAAAGTATATAAAAGAAATGAAACATATAGAAACCCATATATAAATTACATTAAACTATAGTATAATAAACATCTAATAAGTCTGGTTATACGACAATTCCCTGAAGTAGGCAGTGGATTTGGGTATACCCCGCGGACCTTAAGGAATCCAGTAGTCGGGTCACTCGGCCGTGGCATTCTTTCTTGTTCATATTTCTAATTCTGCTTACTTTCAGGCAACAACGATGGATCCGACGGCCGGAGGACGACGACGCAGTCGCTCGGATTCGCCGACACTTTCGGCAGGCAGCCGTGATGGGAACTCGGCTCCTGGTCGGCAGACGCAGTCGTGCGTTGTCCTTTGCTGCTGTCGGTTGTGTCCGCGCTATCCGGTGACTGTATCCTCCAGTGGTTATCCTGAATCAGGGCCCTCGACTTTCTCGGAGCCAGCTCGGCAGCACACACCTGTGCGCTATCGCCCTCCACTGACGAGTAACGTAAGCAAATTTGCACGTAAATTGCGCTAAATTATCTTACAACACAGCACAAATTTGCCTGGCGCGGATTTCTTCGCGTGTGCCTGTGCCCTCCAAGCCACTCCACTTCGAGTCCTGATCCTGTTCACTCGAAGGGCTGTGTTGTGGGGGCAGAAAGAACACGAAATAACCGCTAAGTGTTTTACAACTTGAAGGCGTTAAGTTGGCCATCCTGGGCTCTCCAAGTTTTCCATGTCCCATCTCGCGGGTCTCAGGCCAGAACGGCAAACAAAAATCTGTGTAAGCAGCTTTGCTGGCGGCTCGGTGCCAAACAAAAAACTGGAAAACTCGCTAGCCATCAGCTTTTCAGCGGTTTGGGGTCTCTCTTTTCATAGTTGCCTTATTGAATTTTAAAGATCGCGCAAAGTACGCCGTTTTACATGCATAATAAGGCCACTGTAGCCATAGGCCATAGCCTACGAATGGCTGCGAAAGTGAAAATGTGATGGCATGGCAGGAACATAAATTAAAACTTTGCCTATTAACTCAATTAAAAACTTAGTGAGCACAAAAAAAAAAGAAACCGTGAAAGTTATTTACTATTTTTAATGGAAAGTTATTTGTAATTACCTACTCAAACAAGCACTAATTAGGGCGACTTTTCAACATTCCGTGTTTGCGCAAAGTTGGTGGAATTAATCCAGGCTATAAAGTCAACTGTGGATTACCATAATTCAGCCAGAAATTATGTCAGCCATTTAAGACGTCTTGATCTTGATTGTTTGTTTCTCAACAATCACAAATGATGCTAATATTTTTCTTTAATCAACCAACAAATAAAGTACAGACTCCGCATCCACGTACAAGCAAAACCACTTGAAATTGCAGGGCTACATGTGGCATACTTTCCATAAGATATCCCCAGGGCGTCCACGGATCTCGCCAGGATTCGTTGATGTAGGCTCTTATGCTCCACTCGGCGGTTCAGCGAACTGTGCCCAAGGTCCTGGCACTTGTCAGCAGGAGGGATTACTCCATCCGCGCTGCTTGGCTGCTTGGCTGCTTGGCTGCCCACATTTCATTGTTTGTCAGCATTTACATGTCCTTTTTCCCCGGACGCTCCCGCTGTTAATGTGTGTGTGTGAGTAATGGCCGCGACAGTTTGTTGTTTTCTTGTTAGCCACGCATAAATTTTAATAGTTTTCCTATGCTGTAAGTGGGCCGCCCCCTGCTCCCTCTTTCACCGCCAACTT